AATTGACACTTAATTTTAAGTTAAATTAATTAATTTTTTTTAGACTATTTTGTCATTTTTAAAATAAAAGTAGTTACAGTGTCAAAACAGTCAAAGCGGTGGAGCCCACCAAGCAACAAGGAGTGACCATAGTCAAAAAGGTCATCACCGTAGCATGTGCGGCCACTACGCGTCTCCTCGCTGTCTCTGAGGAGTCGTGGGTTCTCCCTGCCGGCCTCGATCAGCGTGTTCTAATTGGTGTCACCCGAATATCAAGATTTGATATCAGCGTGCCTGCACAGTCTCTGATGAAGGTTGAAGGCTCAAAGCAAAGCTCCCCAATGAACAACCGCCGCCAAGTTGCTGCTTCACCACAGTTCTGGGTAAGCACCAGAGGCTCTTTTTTATTCTGAGCCTCCACAAGACTGACCTCTGCTTGCTGGTGACGGTTGTCCGGTTCTGTCAACTTAATTTATGGCAGCTACATTCTCATCTCTCTAAAGTTCGCCTCATGTGAAGACAATCCAAATTAATTAAGGTGGGCCCTCGTTTCTACCATGTACCAAACTGTGCTGTGCTAGTCTTTTAAAATTAAAAAAATTAAAAAGATTATATTATTTTTTCAGATTAGATTAAAGAAGAGATTGGGCATCTAGATGATTTAATTCAATCTTATTCTATTAATTTATTTAATATAATTATAATTATTTATTTTTAATTAATGCTTTAAAAGTAATTGACATTAAGGAGATAATTGTAAGAAAATTTTTTGAGTTTGTCTCTAAATTATTATTATAACATAGTATTGTTGAAGTTTGTTAAGTGTTATTTTTGTTAAAATTATAAATTTAAATCATTTTGATCATAACATAGATATTTTTTTTGTTGTTAAAAATTATTATGAATTTATTATTATCATAAGTATTTTTATCATCTTCATTAAATTTATTAAGTTTAAATGGATTATTATCTCTTATAGAAGAAAAAAGAAAAAAAATTAAGTGAGTATTATATTAACAGGATTAATTTCTTAATCTTATGAATCAAATTTAATTTTATTAATTTTTGAATTATTATTAAACAAGATTAAATTACAAGTTATCTAATTTAATTTTTTTTATGAAAGTGGTTGAACTTTAGGTTAGATTAAAATTCAATATCATTCAATCACTTGTGCAGTCCTAAATACCAAATACTCGAAACTATAAAGACAGGAACAGAAGCAAATTACGCAGATATTAGTTCGGAGTGTTGCACTTTCCGTGTTGGAGACGAAAAGAATATGAACACTATTCCTCCTCCCGTGCTCTTTATAAATTATACTTACCAACCTCGTTCATATTAACATAAAAAAAATGAAAAAAATAAATGTATAAAATTACAAATATTTTTTTATATAATAATTTAAAAAACAATGTCATATTACTTTTTTATAAAAAAAATTTAAAAATATCTTTTAAATACTCCTTTTGTTAAAAAATATAAATTATTTTTAATCAAATCTCATCCCCTAATAAAGTAATTAATTACTTTTTAACTAACCTTATCTTTTTATATTTATCCATATTAAATATCTTACAATAAATATAAAGTTATTATCAATAGGGGTACTTTTAAAAAAAATGATTACACATCAAAAATTAAAAATGCTTTATATTTTTAAACATCTAACTTTTTAAAAAATATTTTATATTTTTAAATGAAGGGAGTATTACCTAAAACACCACACCATGATTTAAAAATAAAATCAAATAAACCTTTTAAAGCATATCTTATAAATAGAATCCAAGAGAATACTGTATTAAAAATGTTCATTTTCATTTTTATCTGCCGTTCTTTATATCATGCAACGTTCGCAGATTCATCTTTCGTTCCGTATGTCAGTCACATTTTAAAAGCATAATTTAGCTCATCTTACAAGCTATTAGTTAATAAAATTATTTTATTTTAAATTAAAATTTTTAAATTATCCTTAAAAAGTAAGAGAGAGAACCAAAAAAAATAATACTTTCTCGGTCCTAAATTATAAAATATTTTTAGATAAAATTTTATATATCAATAAAGTTTATTAAATGCACTTTATAATTTTATTTTTTCAAAATAAAAATATTAACTTTTAAAAATACTCTTCATTTAATACTCTATTAACAATAGAATATTGAAGCAAGAGAATATATGAGAAGAATAATATTAAAAAAATATTATTAATAAAATTTTATTTTATCAAAGTGTCTTATAATTTAAAATGGAGGGAGTATTATATAAGTAGCTTATTTTTTTACTTAAAAATTATGTTTAAAATTTTATTTATTTTTATTTTTATATTTTTAATATATCAATATTGATAAAGTTGGTAGAAATTATTTATATAAAAAAAAGGATAGGAGAGAGTATTTCTTCATGTGGTGGCACTGACTATCTGTATGTAGGACTGAATAAAAGACAGGACGGCATTAGACTTCGTTCTAACCAGAAGCCTGGTCTCTTTATGAAAAAGATTGGGTTAGGTAACCCGTAGTCCGATCTTGTCCAGTGATAATCCAAAAATCAACAAGACTGAACTTGGTCCATAGGACTATAAGACTAGTCCTGTCAGTCTAGTACTTACTTAGCTTCTTTTTATTTTTATTTTATGAAAGGCAATAATTCATTTCAACATAATAAATTCAATTAAGATAGTAAAAATACTTATAATAATAATAAATTCATAATAATTTCTAACAATAAGAAAAAAATATATCTCTATTATATAATTTAAATTTATAACTTTAACAAAAACAGCACTCAATAAAATTCAACAACACTACATTACAACAATAATTTAGAAACAAACTCAACAAATCTTCATACAATCATCTCCTTAGCATCAGTTATACTTCAAACATTTGTCAAAAATAAATTAATTATAATTATAATAAAAAAATTAATAGGATTGGACTGGATTAAGTGGTCCGGATGCTTAATCTCTTGTCTAGTTTAACCAAAAAAAATAGTCTGATCTTTTTAGTCTTTTTGGTCCTAAAAGACCAATATGTATACGGATAGAATAAGATTGAAATTATCTTGAGTTAGAGTGGATCAAATAAGATTGAAAGATTTTTATATATTCCTACTGCACGTGACTCGCGTGCCGAAGATTTTATTTATTTACGAAATCGATAATGCAATACTTCACATTCCATGATTTACTGATATTTGGACCCAAAATTAAGAAAGACTTTATACAGAAGCCAAAACTCTGGGTTAAAAAACTAGAGAACTTTAATTGTTTTTCCTCAAAAAAGGGGTGCGGAGTAACAATAAAGATAACGACTTTAAAGGCAACTGGATCATCACGAGGCTCTTTGCAGATTCATATTTGTGTGTGTGTTTTTTTTTAGTTGTCTTCACCCTTTTTCTTTTGAATGGGCCCCAAATGTTTATGAAAAGAAACAACCGAATATGGGGTAGTTGAGGGACAGTACTGCGCGCTTCTAACTAATACGCCATCCGTTCTATTTTATTAGTCACACCTTAACAAGTAAAGTGATTCATTTTATAAATTATTAAATTAATAATAACATTATATTTTAAATAAAATATTTAAATTATTTTTAAAAATAAGAAAGAGAAAAATAAAAATAATATTATATTATATTTTTTATTTTTGAAAATTGTGTTTTTAATTTTATTAAATTTTATTTTTTATATTTTTTTATATTGGAATTGATCATATTAGTAAAAATAATTTAAAAAAAATTAGAGGGGTTATATATGAGCAATCTGTAAGCACATCAGCTCCATATCTTCACCTGCCCTGACAAAGTGACAAGTGAGAGTGTGGGACCATCATTCCTTCCTTTTAAGCCTTTTGGGTTTGCTTGAGCCTGAGACACTGCCCGGATAAAACCCGAGTGATGGGGTTACTTCTCATAAGCCGCTGGCTTCTCGCCAGAACATTCTCACTTCATTAACATGTTTGAGTCCTTCGAATTAGCTCTTTAGAGCGATTTTAAGTTTGCAAGAACAAAACTACGAGCATTTTGGCCTATTTTCTAAACAATCTCATGCCGTCTAACTTCCTCGAGTGGCCGGTTTTTACGTAGGAAGGTTAAAGAACACAATATCTACTTATTCAAGTGTGGTTATAAATCGTCCTCATTCGCAATTATCATAAAGTTTAATTAAATAAAAAAGTGCTATTATTGAAAAACTTTTTAGTATCATTTGTGATTTGTATGTGGCGACATATGCACTATTCAGAAGGTAGTCCCTCTGTTTTTATTTATATTTAGAGGAGAAATAAGTTAAAAGTTGGTAATGCTTGTAGTTATAAATCTCTTATGACTACCAATGATGAAATTGATAAAGACTTGATTAGTATAATTAATGAAGAGTATTCTTGTTTAATTTTTTTTTACTAACATACACAATTAATATAATTAATTAATTTTTTTAAATTATGTGATATAGTTTTTTTTTTTTACGAATAAAAATGGAGGGATTAGAAGACAAGAAAACAATGGCGGCCAAAGCGCGAATCCGAACGGCGAGTTCATTCAAAAAGCTTACCAGAAAACAGCAAAGTTATCGCTCTGTTAATTCAGGGCTGCTATAAAAGCATATAACCCCGCAAATTGCGTCAATTCAGCTTAAAGCAACCGGATTATGTCCATTATATATCATGGTGGATAGTGTTTTTTAATACATAGTACTCTTTTTGTTCTGTCGAGACAATCATTATAATGGATATGCTGAAAAACGCAGGGGAGCAAATTACTACTTGGCTTTAATCCACCCCTGGATTTTATTTCTTATTCTTAATCAATTCACTAGATAGTGGAGCTTGAATTTAGGGTACAGGTATCCAAAAGTCAAAAGGCCATACTGCCCGGAAAAATGGAGCCAGCAGGTACCTGCACTCATTGGTGCGTGCATTTAATTTCCTCAGAAGTTACACTGACAGTAAAGTGGAATTTTAAGCTCAAAGAGAGGCCCCATTTTCAAACACACGCTCTCGCGATGCGTTGCGAGTTGCGCCAAAAACCCCAGACCAGTTCCTCGAGAACAGCCGGATTCCCATCCACATTGCCACAAGCTTCTTTCTTCTCTCTCCTTTCCCGCTCTTTACCTTTGTGCATCATTATTGTCATAAGTTCTTCTAAACACGCCTTAACTATCATTACAAGTAAAAAGCCTCCAAATCGTAAATACAAAATGACACTGTTAAACAGAGTATTAGGAGGATAATGCAGCCAATTATTCTCTGCTTCTGTTCACACACACTCTCTCTCTCCCATTTCTGTATCTCACTTGCTAGTGTAATCTCGGCTTATTATTAATGCTTCTAACCCAACCCTAGCAACTCTTCTGGACAAGTTGCTGGCCATGGCAGTTAGGCTCTGAGAGTGAGTGAGAACAGTGACCTGCTGACCCTCCTTCATCTTCTTCAACAATGCTCCAACTAATCTGCATTGCTCTGTTCTTTCTGGTGTCGTTTTCACCGCTTGGGAGAGCAATGCTGAACCTCACTCTTCCTGGCCAGCATCCCGACCCCGATTCTGTCGTTCGAGAATTTCACAGGTACATGTTACCCCTTTTTCTTAGGCGTATGATGCAGAACACTCTGTTTTTCCAGTGGGTGGTCCTACATTGTAACTTAGCATCCTAGAATAGGTCGAATGGCTAGATCTGGGTGAATATCCATTTCGTTATCATTATTTGTTCATGCTTCTATTGTAGGAAAGTGAATGCTTCAATTGTGAGAAGGAAAATGCTAGCAGAGTCGCAGATACAAGAGCCGTCGTGTTTAACAGGGAACCCAATTGACGATTGCTGGAAATGCGACCCAGATTGGCCCAATAACAGGCAGAGGTTAGCTGAATGCGCCATTGGGTTCGGTCAGTACGCCAAGGGAGGCCAGGGTGGCGAATTCTACATCGTCACCGACTCCTCTGACGACGACGCCGTGAACCCGAAACCTGGTACTCTCAGATACGCCGTGATTCAGACGCAGCCACTGTGGATTGTGTTTCCCAGTAATATGATGATTAAATTGTCTCAGGAGCTCATCTTCAATAGCCACAAAACTATCGATGGCCGTGGGGCTGACGTTCATATTGTGGGCGGTGGCTGCATCACTCTCCAGTATATTAGCAATGTCATCATTCACAACGTTCACATCCACCATTGTCATCCCTCAGGTCACTATCATTTGCAGCATTTCTCTTTATTTAACTTGATATTCGGTAAAATTCGTTTAATGTGAAAGTGGATAATCAACCTAAAGCGGGAAAGGGAGATGTTCGTATTCAGTTTTGTTATTGGAATCGTTATTGAAAGTTTTGAATTCATTCACCCAGGCCCGACTTTAATATTAACGACCGGAAACAGGATGGCACGTACAGTTATGTTAACTGGATTAATTAAAAATATGAAAGAGGAAGATGACATATTGGAGTTGGAGACGATTGTCTTCGCCGTTTGATGACTCGTGCCATTATTTTGTCATAATAAAGTGCTTGCTTTGCCAAATTATAATCTTTGGAGGTTCAATAGACATTGTGGTTAAATAAAATGCATGGCTGGAGTCACAAACTCACAGTGCAAGTTTAATGCATACTTGACTGATCTCTGTCTCAAGAGTCAAGAAATTATTGTTGTCTACTCTTCTTGGCGGGCCCGGTCATGATTCTGGATTTTAGCGATTAGTCAACTTTTAGACCGTAAACTGATCTATGCTCCTAGCACTATGCACAGTACATAATTTTGATTTTACCCTCGACTGTGAATTTACATTTGCGGAATATGCGTAATTGGGAAGAATCCAAGGTTAAAAAAGACTTTTGTGGTGTGGGTGGGTGAGCAGGGGAGGCTAACGTGCGGTCGAGCCCAGATCACTACGGGTGGCGAACGGAATCGGACGGCGACGGGATATCGATATTCGGGTCGAAAGACATATGGATCGACCACTGCACGCTGTCCCGGTGCAGGGACGGGTTGATCGACGCGGTTATGGGTTCCACGGGCATCACCATTTCCAACAACTACTTCTCGCATCACAACGAGGTGATGCTGCTGGGCCACAGCGACGAGTACCAGCCGGACTCCGGCATGCAGGTTACCATCGCCTTCAATCACTTCGGCGAGCAGCTGGTGCAGAGGATGCCGAGGTGCCGGAAGGGATACATCCATGTCGTCAACAACGACTACACGCACTGGGAGATGTACGCGATCGGAGGCAGCGGAAACCCTACGATCAACAGCCAGGGGAATCGGTACACGGCGCCAACGAATCCGTTCGCGAAGGAGGTGACCAAGAGAGTGGACACGGAGGAAGGGAAGTGGAAGGGGTGGAACTGGAGATCGGAAGGGGACGTAATGGTAAACGGAGCATTCTTCGTGGCTTCCGGCGAAGGCGTGGAGGTCAAGTACGAGAAGGCCTACAGCGTCGAGCCTAAGTCGGCCGATCACATTGATTTCCTCGTAATGCACGCCGGTGTGCTCGGCATTTCCAGGTTTTCTTCTTGGCTGTCTTGTACTTAGTAATCTATTTTGGGATGTTCATGTGTCATGTTTGCATTTCTGATTAAATGGGATGTGGAAAATGGCAGGGATAACAACCTGGGGATGTGGAGCAGAGGGCCGAACGGAGAAGGGGATGAGATAACAGTGACAGGACCTGAATACACGGACGACATGGCGAGGACGACGAGGTTGCTGCCGGAGTCTTATGCTGTGGGTGGGATATGGTGTTTAGTAGCATTCTTGTGGGCGGTGTTATGTGAATTGTGATAATAGTTGTGCCTAGGAGTGGCATTGCCTAACATTTTGAAGAGTCAAAGCATTCAAACTGTGATGCTGCTTCTTTTAATTGGGAATGAAATTGGAACAAGCCTGCTCCTTAAACACGTCCAAGAGTAGGCGTCATTTAGAGCTGTACATATTCGCCTTCTTCTTCTCACCTTAGTTGTCATTATCCAAGGCAACACGCCAACGCCACTTGAAGGGGAAGCAATGTGTGAAAAAAAACACAGACGCCAAAATCACTCTAAAATCTAATTTCCCCATTTATTTAGATTTTAGCGTTATTTTACTTACTCAACCCGTTTGCAGACGTCTATTTACGTTTCCTTGTAAGCTAACTCTGATTCATACCTATTTTTATAACTACATGGTTGTCTTATTTTGTATTAACTCATCTCTTTTAACATATGAGAAAATTGCGTTGAGGGGCATTCCAAGAACTTGTTTTGTTTTGAAAGAGTCAGTTATATTTATTTGAGACTGTTGCTTACTCCAGCACGCCCAATTTTCGCCAACATTTTTATTTTGCGAAAATATAAATGCTGTATAATTTTTGTTTTTCTAATTTATTTGCACTTTAAGATGGCTACCACTAAGGGCTATGAAATGTTTGATATTTTAAAGCAAAGGATTGGAACGGGTAGAAAGATAGGGAAGTTCCAATCCACTTCCTATCCATTCAAGTTTTATAAATTACACCCACCCAACACTAATCCCTTTATGATGTGGCACCTCAGCATTACTCTTCTCGTACGAGATGATGTGATTAATTGTTTGGTAGGTGTTTGTGCAATCTTTTCCGATCATTCTAACCTAAAAAAAGTGCAAGCAAGGATTGAATTTGGGAGAATGACGTCCTAAAAGGCTAATTAATTTAAGTTAAATTTTAAATGTTAAATTTTATAAATTTAAAACTTAATTTTTCAATTTTACAATCTCATTATAATAAATTTAAAATTTATATTTTAAATTTTAACAAAAAAAATAAATTTTTTTAATTCTTTAGTCATGTTAAAATTTAAAAAATAAGTTGCAAATTTATTTTAAAATTGAAAAATTGAGTTGTCAATTTTTAGAATTTGACTCTTCAAACTTAACTTAAATTAATTACTTTTTTTAGGACTTCTTTATCATTCTTCCATTTGATTTTCCATATGTAGCATGTGACGCTCATTTGTGGTCGTTTGGTGCATATATACAGGCGTATCTTGTTCTTATTATCATTAACTTGTGATATCTGACTAACAGATATTATTTTCTTTTCCTATTGACCAAGCCTCCGGCCAATAATGGCCATTATCTATCTATCTACTTCTATTTTAATGCCCGTCTGCATAGTTTTCTTGATCTGATTCAGTATTTATAACAATTAAATGCCCCCAACAAAAAGGGAATAATGTTCAACTTGTTGCTTAGTTGAAATGCTGGATGCCCCTTGGGTCCATTCTTTTGAAATCTTTCTTCCTGCCTTCGCTTTATCTAACAAAATATGATAATGTTTGTAACACAAAATGGCCAAAGGACTAACATTTAGTTCGGTTTGATGCTTCAACAACCTACCTAGATACACTAATAATATCATACAAAGCTTTATACATGGGACCTTTCGTTTTAGTTTGGTAAACCTACCAAACATGAGTCATGAGTTATCGTACGTTGTAGGCCGAAAAATAAAAATAAAAAATATTTTATAATTTGCTAAATAGTGAGCCAAGTAAAGGTAACTTAGAAATGAAGTCGTTTCTATGGACATAGGAATCTGTGTTCTCCACACTTTTAAGTGATAAAATGCTTGAATAATCTATTATTATTGGCTTGTTATTATTACTTATATTATATCACTCTTACCATATGTTGATAATTCGCATATAATACTTACACATAATCGAATTGATAATAATTGAACATTAAATTATAAGTTAATGTCTTCTTTACCAAAGGATCTTTTTTTAAAAAAAAAAAAAAACATTGTCATAGAACTTTTCAGTTCATCGGAACTTTCAAGGCTTCCATTTCTAGCGGTAAGTTTGTGCTGCCGCACTTGGACTCGTGCTATGTTCACTCTCAGATTTAGGATGCATGGGGAAAGATACATAGTTCACATAAATTCCAACAAGCGATTACAATAAGTGATGGAGAATGAAAACTACATTTATATTCACACAGCATGATGTAATTTTTACACTAATTAGCAAATAAACAAACATTTTGAATGGGAATTCTAGGGTCAATTCATGCACCTGAATAAGAATAAGCCCATGTTTCAGAGTCTAACCATGTAGAATAAAATTCATCGGACTGGGTGTTATTACAATGATGTCCATATTCTATTCCATTTTGTTCTTCTTGCAATTCTGCCATCCAGCCTGATACCCGAATCTCGTAAGGTGAATTTGTCATTTTCCATTCAGATGTTGGAAAAGCCTGAAAGGAATTATCCTGAGTCTCCCCAACATTTTCTTGGCATTCAAGGTTCATCTGGCTGTAATCCTTGCCAACATTAATATCATAAGTGTTCTCATCACTGAAGGCACCTTGTTCAGTGCTGTCAGCTGGTTTATATTGGAATTCATCTGAATACACAAGTGCAAGTAAGAGCAACAGCAATTAATGAGTTATAAATTTGGAAAACATGCATTAAGAATTGCACTTCTTACCTTGTTGGACTCGTGCTTTCTTTCTCAAATGAGTTCTCCAATAATTCTTGACTTCATTGTCTGTTCTTCCGGGTAAACTGCGAGCAATCTTTGACCACCTGGATTGCTCAACAAGTGAAGTTAATAAAAGTGACATGTCACTGAGGGCTCAAATCAGTAGTGCCATGTATAAAGCACAAGCAGAGAACAGGGGAAGAATTATGTACTTGTTGCCCCATTGCTGGTGAAGCTGAATAATAAGGTTCTCTTCTTCAAAACTAAAAGGGCCGTGCTTCAGATTTGGACGAAGATAGTTCATCCACCTCAACCTGCAACTCCTACCACTTCTCCTGAGCCCTGCAAAAGATCACAAACTAATATTGGACACTGCTATTTCCATATCTCACATATTTAATTTGCTGCATTAATAGATGAAGCCACGTCCAACATTATTCATACCAGCAACTTTGGCAAGGGAATCCCATCTTCGTTCTCCGAGACAAGTAACAAAGGTAGTGAGTTGCTCGTCTTCCTCTTGGAGCCAAGGCCCTTTACGCAAAATCTCTCCTCCCATGCTTTGCTTCATATTTTGATATGTAACAAATCACAATGTACGTACGTTGCAGTTACTAGGAGAGGGCTGTAAGGCATATATAGACACACACACACACACACACAGACAGTTACAGGAAGCAATGAATCAGAAGAGAGAATTGGGAAAAGGCGAAAAGGGATTGGGACTGGAAACTCTTAAGTGGCGTAAGTGGACAACGCCGGTGGATGTGTGGGCACTCCACAAACTATTGGCTAAACAAATAATTAAATTGCTGCTGACCAAAGCATGTATCTATCGTACTTTCTCCGATCTAACTAATTAATATTTTATGATTAGTTAAAATCTTAAATTTCTAAAAATGATCACATCTTTTTATTTATACTCTCATTAAATACCCTATAAAAGAGTATTGATAATAATAACTAAAATTCCAATGCTTGATTTATTTAAAAAAAAATAGATAAATTGAGAGTATAGTTGAAAAAACAAATATAAAAGTTATCCAATGTCCAATATTTTAGACTAAGTAAAGTTTTTAAATGATGCTTTATATTGTAGTTCGAAAAGGGTAAATATTAGGTCATGAACTCGTATGAGATTAGATGCACTGCACTGTTCAATACTCATGGTATCACTAATTCTGTCATTTTATGTCAGGGTTGCCCTTCGATTTTAGATATATGACTTTTGTCCTCTGCAAAACAAGATATAGATGTTTATGAAGAGAAGGTATGGAAAACGGGGGAATCGAAAGAAAAAAGTTGAATGGATAGGGATTGGGTATTGGAAGGTGGTAGACAGAACCAAAATTTGGATCTCCATCCAGATCTCTCTTTTCAGATACACTGGAAGCAACCGAGCCTGTAACTTCCGGAGTGCCGAAAAAGTGGGCTCAAATATTGCTACCCCTCTCAAAGCTTCTGATATTTTACTGTTTTCTTTGGTACCTTATTTGCGATTTGAAGCATCCCATATCTGACATTTGTATTTGATTATTTTCGTAGCATGCTGCATGTTTATAATGTTTCATAGGATATTATATTTTTGTTACATTTGAAAATAGGGCTTTGATTTTCTTCTGTATTTTCCGGAAAAAAATAACCTTTGAAGACCTCATAAAACCTTTGGTAGTTTGGTTACATTTGAAACCGCGAACATCAAAAAATTTAAAGGGTCAAGATTCCTGTTGGGAAATCAAGCTTTTCTTTCTTAACCTCCCTTTGATTTTTCCCGCCAACTTAATTGATTTTCTCAGCAGTCATCCTTGGTAAGAATGACTGCTAAATAAAATCTCTAGAATTATACAACCTGCATTGTTTTAACTAAAACCTCAATCGTCAACGTGTCGGGGAAGTTTGTCAAACGGTGGTTCTTTTTCCCCCGCACCATGTAAAACATTGTGAAGTTTATTCCAGCAATTTTCGTTCCATTTGGATGTAAAAAGCCCACCAGAAATCTCAGCTCAACGGACAAGAAAGTTAATATGGGGGCTCCATTTCATAACATGAAAGGATAGGATCAGATTTTCAACACATGCGTGCCTTTTGGTTCAAAAGAGAACATAAATGCAAGAGATTTAGTAAGGAAGAGAGAAACAACATTGTCACCACCTCAAATACCAAAGAAGACAAAGCTATATATAGATTCCATTTGGAGTACTCTGGTAAGTTTCACAAACCATGTCCCTAACCAACAAAACCATCTTGATTAGATGACTTGGATAATGGACCATCAAGTAACACAAAAAATAAAATAAAAATAGGCAAATCTACAGTGACTCATCTAGCCTACGCTTCTAATCTCTCGACGTTCAAACTGCACCTGTTTCATCTTTTCTCGTATAATATATCAATAGGACCACAACATTAGCGATCTATGAATGATTTATTCATAAGATTGACAGCATCATCCATGAACTGCAAGTAGATAAAGACCCATTTTAATCATGACAGTTAAAAAATATTCAGAATTGCGACTTATCTGGGACTGGAAGTAATCGCATTTAACATCAATAAATAAACAAGAAAATTTTAAAACGTGACATCTCAACAAGCAATAAAGCAAGATTTATAAATAAATCCCAACTGAGCAAAAATGATAGTCGAGAATCTTGATCATAAATGTATTATAGGTTCCACCAGTTTCACTCAAGTACTAATACTACATTCAAATAGATTCTGTGCATTTAATGCGGAAATCTTATACACAGCAATTGTAACAGAAGGATAGGTTTTAATTTTTCTGCCCATCGCATCCCATTCCGATATTTAAGATGATGAAAATTACTTTTCATAAAGCCACACCTTAATGGCATATAATTATTTAGAAGTTCAAACTACTAAGCATAGGTAATTTAGGCCAGACAGTAATATTAGCATTTGACCACGACAATGTTACCACATAATGTGATATGCACTAATATCAAGTCACATTTCAAAAGTACAAGAGCATATACATAAAGCTCGTATGCACCATTGCTTCGTTCCTGATTATATGCAAGTTTATCTAAAAAAGTTCAATTTCAAATCAGGACCAATGAGCTCCCACAGAAAAGGATTTAACATATTGTTCAGTCCACGTATGATACATGGGAATTAGCAATAACAGAATAGGGGTAATTAGGGGAATTAGGAAGATAAGATTAATTCCATTCACAATGACCCATTACACCCTAAAGATCTATTTATAGAGAATATACTAAATACCCAAACTACCCTTATATTCCTAATTCGCCTAATTATCCCTATTCTATTATTCCTAATTCCCATGTATCAATGTGTAAGTAATTCTTTTATCTAAGTCAAATTTCACCAATGTCAAATGCAAACTTTGTCAAGTTCAACATCAATAAAAGAGTCCATTTATATTTGTTCCTTGCATGCATGAGATATATAAAAGGATGGACTTAACCTTCCCAAGCAACTTAAGTTCCCGTCCAACTGGTTCCAAAATCTTCATGTCCAAATTGATAGGCCAGACCTGTCCAAACATGAAAGAGACCAGGAAAGTGTCAAGCAGACCATCGTGCAGACATATTCTACCTAAAATAGGCATAACCAATAATATCTCTCCCGATAGTCTAGAGCTAAATGCTTTCTGTTCTCGATGTTGTAGCTCATGAGATGAGTCATATAATATGTGGGGGCGTTTGCGGAACCATAAAAGTAAGGGCAACAGAAGACTATACAAGGAATCACATGTCCAAAGGTTGGATTCTCCAATCTCCCATAATACCAACAAAAACCAAAGGAGTGGTTTATATTATTTTCTTTTTGTTAAAAAAAAAAAATCCCTGTGGTTTATGAAACTTAAGCATATCCCACTTAGAGTATCGAAGATTTCATTAATTGGGGTTTCATCTGACAAAACCCTATGTATAAATATTTTTGAAACGTATAGCAGCCTATGTCAGTTTTTTCTAGACTTAACTAAAGAAAAATCAATGAAAGGGAGTATAAGTTGAATCTGGCAGGGCCGCGCTCGAGTAGGTTAGGTAATTCTCAGGCGATATATATACATAATATATAAGGAATAGCAATAATGGGTCACGGACTCGAGAGTCTCACACCTTCAATTCCTTCCATCTAAAACCAAAACAGTCAAAAAGAAGTGATATTTAAAAAGCCTGAACCGATGGCAGATTAACTACTATTCAAAACTAGAAAATTTTATGCAATGCGGTGCTATCCGTTACAAAGTAAACGTGAGATTAAGGAACTCCAAAGGATCATGAAATCCTGAGCCAATATAGAAGCTGGTTATCAATTAAATTGCAGGTTTCCTATTGCTTGAAACAAAAACAACTATACAAAATTCGCAAACTTGCATCAAGCATAAAATTAACCTAGATGAACGAGGCGAAAGCAACTTTAGTTAATATTAACATGACAATCCAATAAATAACACAACCCATGAGCTCAGTCTTCTCAGGTCTTTCCATGCAAGGAAGATAGAAAAGAAACAACCAATATAAAATTCAGTTCCAATTTCCAAGAAAGAAAGCAGTACCTTGACGCCAAGTAATTTGAGCGGCGTTATCTGCCCCGGTACGATACAGTCTGGACCCGCTGCTTCCACTATGGCTTCCTCGGCCAACCCACTTCCAATGGGATTGGGGTGCTGCATTATCCCGGAGAAAAAAAAAAAACAAATAAGCAAGTAAATGAACTGCTACGTGAAGGATTTGATCGGAAATGCCGCGAAAATTAGAGAGAAAGAGGAACCTTCATAACGGAGATGGCATAATCGGTATGAGGGGTTTGGGAAAGACGGAGAATCGGAGAATGATGAATTTTGGGAATAGGTTTTTCCGATGATGCTCTCCACGGAGCATCCTTCTGAAGCAAAGCAGCTCCTCGTTTCTTCGACATTTTCCCTGACCACTCTGATTTTATCCTCTGTATGCGCCCTCCGGCTCCTGCCCTTCGAGAGAATGGAGACGCCAATATAAGTATAGAGACTCAGACTGCACACAGGATAGGCATTCTCTCCTCTTGAACACACAAAAATTATTAATATTAATTTTTTTTTATTTCTGTTCATGAACCATCGATAATGAGAAAAAGCACGAGTAACGCGCAACTCACTTGTTTTAAGGTTTGATGCACTTAACTTCTCTCTTTGGGTTTGAATTCAAACCATTCACTGTCAGGGCTGAGCAAAATTGACTCAAAATTAAAAATTGAATTTTATTTTATTTTATTTATTTAATTTTTCGGTTCGATTCAATTTTTTCATAAGAAAAATTTTATTTGATAGGTTCGATTCAGTTTAAAAATTTTAAAATTAAATAAATCGAATCGACCAAATTACTCATATTTTTTTCATATTTTTGAAAATGTAAATAAATTCTCATCTAGATAAGTAATAAACATCTTTATACTACTTGCAGTAGTAGTATTTTTTTTTTGTTTAATGTAATGTCTTGATTTTTAATTTCTACAATTTAATTTTTAGGGTAATAGTATTGAGTCTTATTAATTTTCTCATGAATTGTGGTATAAGATTGTTATTTTTTGTTGGGCCTTTAATATTAAGGGAAAAAAATTGAATAGAAGAATATATGAATAATTAGATTTTATAAACCGAAATCAAAGCCTATGAACCGAATAGACCAATAGAATCGAACCATTAAAATTCAGTTCAATTATATATTTTGATTCGATCCAAATTTTTTATATAATTCGATCAATCGATTTTAGAGAAATTAAAATTGAACCGACTGAATGCTTACCCCTAGTCACTATTCTAAATATACTCATTTGATAAATGTCTCAATTATAACTATTAAATATTAATACTTAAAAATTAACAATATATATTTCCCTTTAAAAATTCAAAATAATCATCATGACTAGAATCCTCCTTACTTATAATGTTTCTACTAAAAATTTTGAGATTGGATGTTTTTTTAATGTTATAAGACAAAATCATCGACAACCAACTCATTAAATCAAACCGTTGTTATCGTGTTATAATACTTGGAACACTTATTAGATCTAAATTTAGGGTTTGTTTGTTGACTGTTGTGCCCTACAAAACTTAACCTTTTCTTCATTCACTCATTTCTCATAAAAAGAAAAATTTAAATCATTTCCATGCTTTATAAAATATGAAACATTAGTTCGATTTAATAATGAAGAAAATAAAATAACATTTTATTCAAAGAGCTTTCAAGGTTTGGTGACCACTAACTATCCAATTCTTCTTAAAAAAAAAAAAATAGCAAGAGAAGCTGTTAGAAGGTGAAAACATTTGCTTTTTTTTTTTTTTTTTGAGATATAGACGGCAAGCTAAGCTTGAAATAAAAGAAAAACAAAACAGAAAAAATTACAAGGGAGCCAAAATAAGGCTCTCGTCACCAAAATACAAAGGCAAACAATCTACACGCACAAAGGGCACCAGGATCTTTTCAGTAGGACCACCTTGGCCCATTTTGGCCATGAAATCAGCACATCTACTAATATATCTAGGAGAGTGATGAATGGTCACTTCTTCCATGAGGAGCAAATGTTCCCTAATATAGTCGATATCACTGTGTAGATGATGATCTAGAGCACAATCTTTCTTTAAAAGGTTATAGCATTAGTAGAGTCAGAGTAAATGGATAGCTTGGTAAGATTAAGATGCTGGCAAACCTCTAGTCCAGTTTTGATGGCTAGAATCTCAACATCAGTTACTAAGCATGTACCAATGTTCTTGTGGAAGTCCATGCAATTATCATTGGTATCTCTTATGACTCCACCACAAGCTGCACGATGTTGATTCCATACAGAGCCATCGCCATCAACGCAAACACAGTTTGCTTGATGCGGGTTCCAAATATCTTCCGAGCTGACATCATCTAAAAAGACTCAGTGCTTTAATTCGTTGTTTACCACTTGTTTCTAAAGAAGATGCAGACACGTGTGAATGATCTTGTTTGATTTGGGACTCTGTCCTTCAAAGACAAAAGAGCAGCAAAAGGTCCAGAGTCCCCAGCAAACCAAACTAAAAACTCTCGACCAAGGCCATTTCCTGAAAACACCGTGTCCAGGATTATGTTTGGCATGCCAAGTGAGCCATAAAACTGCAAATCACCAGAGAAAAACTAAAATGACCGTTAGTGGATAAAATTTCTCTCCATATCTATTCCGCTCTCTCACGATCACGAAGTAAATGAATAAGGTTCTCCTCGTATTGGCACTCAAAGGGACAAATAGATGAATTGCTAAGTCCTCTTGAATTTCTCATAATTCTCTCATGACAACTTGCCACAAAGTATTTCACTTGTCACTCAAATATTGGCACTCAAAGGTGAAAACATTGCTATAGGGAAAAGAATTCACGGCCATGCTTTGTAAATAACGAATGTAATAATTTATCAGGCTTACACTCACCTTAAGTTCAATGGTATTTCTGAATGATGCAACGTAGAAACATGCTGAGTCAAATCTACTAATTATAAGATTCAGATTTTGCGCCAGCAAGAAGAATGAAGGGAAAACTCCGTATTTCTCTCAGTATACAACAGAATATTTCACAGAACATTCTTAATCTGAAGATATAGGTGACAGACTTCCAACACATTTTAAAGTTACATTTATCACTACTTTTTGCCGCCTGGTGATCATCTGACAGACAAAATGATGATAGAAGTGGGGGAAAATTAAGTGGGAAAGAAAGAAACCCAGAAAAAAAAATGGCACCAATATTAGGGGAAGCAAATCCATAATCCATCAATCATCCTTCGAAATGCGAAGGCAATGAGGCTAATCTATGATCATGGCATCACCCCCTCTCTCAACAGCAACATCTGCGAGTCTCTTCCAATTCAATAGTCGCTGCTCTTCCAACTCTTCGGCTCTGGCCTCTTTCTCTGCATACTGCCTCCTGCACTCTTCATATAATTCATCATCCATTTCCATAAACATCTTCCGAACATTGACAGTCAGCCCATGAACTGCCTGGTTCCAGTGACTCTGGATATTTTTCTCCAACGCTTCAAATATTATTGGTAATATCACACTCCGACTTTGAGCAATTAAGCTTACAATGTGCTCATTGTTCCACAAGATGAGGGCTCGTTCTGCAACCTGCATCGCAAATGTCCCTAAGCAAACCGTTCCGCAGGGCATATTTAAAAACACTATACAAGCACACCATTCAAGTCACAGCACCAGCGAAGTAATTCAAATCCCCATCCGGAGAAGGTCCCAAATCCGACATACTGACTAAGACAATTTTCGGTGACCAAGGGAGGATTTATTTAAAAAGACCATTAATGATTAACTCCCCCTCTCTTAAAAAGTAAATATAGAAATAAATTAAGTGAAAAAAAGACCCTAAGTAAGGATTTGGCAACACCATTTTACCCTCTCTCCTACTGCTCCATTCCACAACAACCAGCTGAACTTTTGGTTCAACCGAAAAAAAAATTTGGATCCTATCTGAACATATCTTGATAGTAACCACAAGCCAGTAACAACCCAAGTTCACCACTACCATTTGGTAGCATGGTGAACAGCTTAACCGAAGCAATAGGCATCAGTTGTAACCATAAACGAAATATACGTCAACCCACCTTGTTGAACCAGTGAATCATTAAAATAGTACCTTAAAGAGCTTAATATAAAAGTGCTTTGTTTTTATGACCAATTTGATCACAGGTCAACTACAATTCTGACCATTAAACCTTTAAACTAGTGTCTTGA